TGGCCTTTTGCTTGTGCTCAGACTGCGTGGTGACGTTGTGATCCACCCTGAGCTTGCTTTGCACTTCCTACCTGGCCTTGTGACCCTCTATTCTCCCCCACATTGCCTATGGGGGTGTGTCAAACATATGTTTATATGATATAGTTTAGATAGGCTTTAGTGGGGTACTCACTGTGGGGTACAACCCCTTAGGTTTCATTTTTGTAAAAACACTCTCGACATTCAATACCACTTTTGCCTAGGATTCTAACACCCGCGTGTCGCGCTCTGCTGCTCCGCGCCTCACACCCTGCTGCAGCCTGCACGTCGCACCCTGCTGCCCTGCGCGTCGCGCCCTGCTGCAGCCAGCGCGCCGTGCCCTACTGCAGCCAGCGCGTCGCGCTCTGCTGCCCTGCGAGTCGCGCCCTGCTGCAGCCAGCACGTCGCGCCCTACTGCAGCCAGCGCGTCGCGCCCTGCTGCCCTGCGCGTTGCGCCCTGCTGCAGCCAGCGCATCGCGCCCTAGTGCAGCCAGCGCGTCGCGCCCTACTGCAGCCAGCGCGTCGCGCTCTGCTGCCCCTCGCGTCGCGCCCTGCTGCAGCCAGCGCGTCGCGCCCTACTGCAGCCAGCGCGTCGCGCTCTGCTGCCCCACACGTCGCACCCTGCTGCCCTGCACAGCACGCGCCCTGCTGCCCTGTTTACCGCGCGCCCTGTCCTGCAGCCCACGGCGCGCCCTGCTCGGCCGAGCCGCGCCTAGCCCGAGCCGTCCTGCCCAACCCGAGCCGCGCCGCCCTACCTTGATCACCAGCCCCACCGAGCCGCCCTGCTGCCACTACTGCTGCTGCTGCTGCTCGTGCTACTGCCGCTGCTGGTGGAGGTGCTGCTGGGAGTGCTGGGAGTGCTGCTGGTGCTGGGGGTGCTGGAGGTGCGACTGGGAGTGCTGGAGGTGCTGCTGGTGTCGGAGGTGCTGGACCTACTACTGACCGTCACTGCCTGTCATGGCCACTATCACGGCAGTTGCAGCTGCTAGGGGTGGACAGTGGCGGTCACTGCCTCTCCCAAACGACCCCACCCCTCAGCAGCTTCGCGAGTGGGTTCTTCAACGAGCCCGTCCAGGTGGTGGAGGCTTTGGTTTTCTACGTAATGCACAGAGGCGGCGGCAGAGTCAGCAGGAAACCTTCTCCCCTCAAGCGCTTAGTGAGTTGTTTCCTCAGCGATGTGTCACTGGTTCTGTCGAGGCTGCTGCACTAGGTGCTAGTGAGTCTGCTGCCGCACTAGGTGCTAGTGAGTCTGCTGCAGCACTAGGTGCTAGTGAGTCTGCTGCAGCTTTAGGTGCTCGTGCATCTCCCGCCACAGGTCCTTCCTCCGCTGAGGCCTTGCACACTTTCGCACTTGACTCAGGCGCGTCACGTTGCTTCTTTCGTGACTGCACCACACTCACACGACTTGCTGCACCAGTACCGGTCTCACTGCTGACCCCACTTGGGGCCCAGTAGTCGCACGAGCCTCCACTGTCCTCCCGTGTCCAACAGTCCCCTCCAGTTCTCTATCAGGTCTCCACCTCCCCACGTTCTCGACGAACTTGGTGAGCAACGCTGCCATTCAGGATGTCTGGGTTGATACCTTTATTCCTGGAGGGCAGCGTGTGGCGATCTGTACGTGCTCCCGGACTGGCCGTCACCTGGCTACGTTCACTCGACGACCTGGGTCTAGTCTGTACACACTGACCACTGCGTCTGCACAGGTGGCTGAGGCAGGTCAGGTGGCTGCGTCAAGTTAGGTGTCTGCATCTGGTCAGCTTGCAGCTTCTTGCTCGTGTCGGGTACTCTCCCACCAGACTCTCCTCTGGCACCACCGCCTCGGTCACCCCTCCCTACCGCGTCTCCGCGGTATGCACTCCCGTCTCCTTGTCTCTGGCCTTCCCAGTTCCCTGCCCTCCCTCCCGTGCTCGTCTGACCCGCCGTGCCTTCCCTGCGTCGAGGGGCGGCAACGCGCCGCTCCTCACTCCTCCGAGTTTCCTCCGACCACTGCTCCTCTGCAGACTCTCCACATGGACGTTTGGGGCACAGCCCCCGTCGGTGGAACGTACCAGGAGCGCTACTTCCTGCTGGTTGTTGACGACTACACACGCTACACCACTATCTTCCCCTTGCGTCGCAAGGCGAACGTCAGCGGTTCCCTTGGATCCGCACTACTCGTCGCCAGCTGCGCGATCGGTTTAGTCGGGACTTGCCAGTCTTGCGTCTGCACTCTGACAGGGGCGGTGAGTTCTCTTCTGACCTCCTTGTGGAGTTGTGTCAAGACGAGGGCATCCACCAGTCGTTCACGCTTTTGGCCTCTCCTCAGCAAAATGGGATTGCTGAGCGTCGCATTGGCTTGATCATGGAGGTTGCTCGTACCTCCATGATCCATGCGGCTGCTCCCCATTTTTTGTGGCCGTTTGCGGTCCGATACGCTGCGCATCAGCTCAACCTCTGGCCCCGTGTCTCTGAGCTAGAGGCCTTGTCCACACTCCGGTGGATGGGGAAGGTTGGCGATGCGTTGGTGTTTCGGGTCAGGGGCGCGCTCTCCCTTGTTCGCGATGCCAAAGCGAGCAAGCTCTCCTCTCGCACTCTCCGCTGCATTTTCCTTGGCTTCCCCACCAACGCCCCGCCGTGGCAGTTTTACCACCTGCGCTCGCATCGAGTCTTCTCCTCCCAGGAAGTCACCTTTGACGAGTCTGTCTATTACTACAGGCTACACCCGCACGCGTCCCACCCGGTCCCCCTAGCGCCTCTTTTCTTGGTACCAGTCCCCCCCCAGGTAGACCCCCTCCCCCCACAGGGTCCTGCTCCCTCAGGTGTGTCTCAGGTAGACCCACCCTCCTTGGTTGAGCCTTTGGAGATCTCTTCTGCCTCCTCAGGCCCAACTGAGGGGGGTGACCCCGCCGCTGATGACACGGCGACCACTCGCCGCTCTCCACGCTTGAAGACCCCCCCTGGTTTTCCGCCTCGGCCGTCTTCGCCGCCTCCGCAGCCTGCTGCTGTGAACTCTCGAGCTGAGACTGCTGGTGCTGAGCCTGGGGGTGCTGAGACAGAGAGTGAGGGTTCTGGGGGTGCTGCGACTGGGGTTGCTGGTTCTAGGGGTGCTGCGACGGGGGGTGTTGGTTCTTGGGGTGTTGCGACTGGAGGTGCTGACTCTGGGGGTCCTGCGGGTCCTAGTGGCAGTGGAGCTATGGGTGACCCTGCTGGAGGTCCTGGAGCTGGACAGCCACCGCAGCCTGACCTACTTGAGACGCTCTTGCCGCAGGCGATTCGTGCGTGGATCGTTCGGCGAGGCAGTCCGGGTGGTGGAGGGTACGGTCCTGCTGGTGCTGGAGCTGCTAGTCCTGGAGGTACTGCTGGTGCTGGAGGTACTGGAGGTACTGCTGCTGCTGGAAGTGCTGCTGGTGCTGGAGGTACTAGAGGTGCTGCTGGTGCTGGAGGTGCCGGAGCTACTAGTCCTAGTGGTGCTACTGGTGCTGGAGGTGCTGGACCTACTAGTCCTGGAGGTACAGCTGGTGCTGGAGGTGCTGCTGGTGCTAGAGGCGCTGGAGCTGGAGGTACTGGAGGTGCTGGAGCTGCCGGAGCTGGTGGTGCTGTTCGTGCTGGAGGTGCTGGCAGTGGAGGTACTAGAGGTACTGTTGGAGCTAGAGGTGCTGGAGCTGCCGGAGCAGGTGGTACTGCTGGTGCTGGAGGTGCTGGAGGTGCTACTGGAGCTGCTGGCACTAGAGGTGCTGGAGGTACTGCTGGTGCTAGAGGCGTCGGAGCTGGAGGTACTGGAGGTACTGGAGGTGCTAGAGCTGCTGGTCCTGGAGGTGCTCGTACTAGAGGTACTGGAGCTGCCAGAACAGGTGGTGCTTGTCAGAATGTATTTGCTGTTTAGCCTGCAGTGGGGTACTCTGTAGTGAGTACAACCCAATTTAGGGTTTGCTATTTGTATCCCAACTTCCTATAGTGAAACCATCTCTTTCTCGATTCTCCCTTGCACAATCTCTCTCGACACTCAACTCTCTCGACACTCACTAGCTATGGCTCCTAAGTCTAGCTACTATTCTAACATGGTATTAAGAGCAATAAGTTCTAGGACCTAACATCAATGGGCCCACCACCTAATGCCCTGCTAGCCTAGGCCCCGGCCTGTCGCCACTTGGCGTAGCCCCTAGCCCCTAGGCTCGGCCCCTTGGCCCCGTCGCCCCTAGCTATGACACTCGGCCCCGTTGGCCCCGTCGCCCCTAGCCGCGCCCCTCGGCCCCGCTGGCCCCGTCGACTCCGTCGCCCCGCGCCCGGCCCGTACTTAGCCCGCGATCGGCCCGTACCTAGCCCGCGCTCGGCCCCGTTCCTAGCCCCGCGCCCGGCCCGTACCTCGCCCGCGCTTGGCCCCGTACCTAGCCCGCGATCGGCCCGTACCTAGCCTCGCGCCCGGCCCCGTACCTAGCCCGCGCCTGGCCCCGTACCTAGCCCGCGATCGGCCCGTACCTAGCCTCGCGCCCGGCCTCCGTTCCGCGCCCAACGCCCGACCCGTACCTAGCCTCTTGACCGGCCCGTACCCTGCCCGCGCTCGGCCTCGTTCCTAGCCCCGCGCCCGGCCCGTACCTAGCCTCGCGACCGGCCCGTACCCTGCCCGCGCCCGGCCCCGTCTCTCGCCCGCGCCCGGCCCGTACCTAGCCCAGCGCACGGCCCCGACCCTAGCCAGCGCCCGGCCCCGTACCTAGCCAGCGCCTGGCCCTGTACCTCGCCCGCACCCGGCGACGTACCCTGCCCGCGCCCGGCCCCGTCTCTCGCCCGCGCTCGGCCCGTACCTAGCCCCGCGCCCGGCCTGTACCTAGCCCAGCGCATGGCCCCGACCCTAGCCAGCGCCCGGCCCTGTACCTAGCCCTCACCCGGCCCCGTACCTGCCCAGCGCCCGGCCCCGTACCTGCCCAGCACCCGGCCCCGTCCCTAGCCCAGCGCCCGGCCCCGTACCTAGCCGCGCCCCTCGGCCCCACTGGCCTCGTCGCCCCTAGCTATGGCAAGAGGGGTGATGACTTCCTGCCCGCGTGCCCTGCAGTCGCACGCGCAGCTCCGCCCCCGCCCCCCTCCCCCTCCTCCATGGGGATGGGGGGGAGAGGGTGTGAGGGGGTGGTGGATGTGCCTCAGCAGCAGCAGCTGCCGCCACGCCTCCTACTCTATCTCTCCCTGCCGCACCTTGTGTTGGGAGAGGGGGGGGAGCTTGGAGGTTCAGAGGGAGGCAGGAGGGTATCTGCAGCACCAGCCCCCCCCGACCCCCCCTTTCTCCTCCACCCCTGCTGCGGGTGCAGCAGTGGGGGGGAGGGGATCTGCAGAATCAGTGGGGGGAGGGGATTTGCAGCATCAGCCCCCCCCCCCCCCTTTTCTCCTCTCTCTCTCCCTGCCGCACCCTGTGTTGGGAGGGGGGGGGGGGGGTTGGAGGTTCAGAGGGAGGCAGGAGGGGATCTGCAGCACCAGCCCCCCCCGCCCCCCCCCTTTCTCCTCCACCCCTGCTGCGGGTGCAGCAGTGGGGGGAGGGGATCTGCAGCAGCAGTGGGGGGAGGGGATTTGCAGCATCAGGCCCCCCCCCCCCGCCCTTTTCTCCTCTCTCTCTCCCTGCCGCACCCTGTGTTGGGAGCTTGGAGGTTCAGGGGGAGGCAGGAGGGGATCTGCAGCACCAGCCCCCCCCAGCCCCCCCCCCCCACTTCTCCTCCATCCCCCTGCTGCGGGTGCAGCAGTGGGGGGGAGGGGATCTGCAGCAGCAGTGGGGGGGAGGGGAGTTGCAGCATCAGCCCCCCCCCCCCCCCCCCCCCACTTCTCCTCCATCCCCCTGCTGCGGGTGCAGCGGTGGGGGGGAGGGGATCTGCAGCCCTGTGCTGCCCTGCAGCCCTGCGCGCCCTGCGCGCACTACAGCCCTGCGCGCCCCGCGCGCCCTGCTGCCCTGCAGCCCTGTGCGCCCTGCTGCCCTGCAGCCCTGTGCGCCCTGCTGCCCTGTTTGCCCCTCGCGCCCTGCTGTCCTGCTGCCCTGCACGCCATGCGCGCCCTGCAGCCCTGCGCGCCCCATGCGCCCTGCTGCCCTGCAGCCCTGTGCGCCCTGCTGCCCTGCTGCTGCCGCTACAGCCCTTGCTGTTGCCGCTACAGCCCTTGCTGCTGCCCTGCGCGCCCCGCGCGCCCTGCAGCCCTGCTGCGCCCCGCGCGCCCTGCTGCCCTGTGCGCCCGGCGCATCCTGCAGCCCTGCGCGCCCTGCTGTCCTGCTGCCCTGCGCGCCCTGCTGTCCTGCTGCCCTGCGCGCCCTGCGCGCACTGCAGCCCTGCGCGCCCCGCGCGCCCTGCTGCCCTGCAGCCCTGTGCGCCCTGCTGCCCTGCAGCCCTGTGCGCCCTGCTGCCCTGTTTGCCCCGCGCGCCCTGCTGCCCTGCAGCCCTGTGCGCCCTGCTGCCCTGCTGCCCTGTGCGCCCCGCGCGCCCTGCAGCCCTGTGCGCCCCGCGCGCCCTGCAGCCCTGCGCGCCCCGCGCGCCCTGCTGCCCTGCAGCCCTGTGCGCCCTGCTGCCCTGCAGCCCTGTGCGCCCTGCTGCCCTGCTGCTGCCGCTACAGCCCTTGCTGTTGCCGCTACAGCCCTTGCTGCTGCCCTGTGCGCCCCGCGCGCCCTGCAGCCCTGCTGCGCTCCGTGCGCCCTGCAGCCCTGCGCGCCCTGCGCGCCTTGCTGTGCTTGCGCGCCCCGCGCGCCCTGCTGCCCTGCAGCCCTGTGCGCCCTGCTGCCCTGTTTGCCCCGCGCGCCCTGCTGCCCTACAGCCCTGTGCGCCCTGCTGCCCTGCTGCCCTGTGCGCCCCGCGCGCCCTGCAGCCCTGTGCGCCCCGCGCGCCCTGCTGCCCTGCTGCCCTGTGCGCCCTGCTGCCCTGTGCGCCCCGTGCGCCCTGCTGCCCTCTGCACGCGCCATGGGAGTGGTGCTAGGGGGGTGACGTGGGAGTGGAGCTAGGGGTGCAGCAAGGGGTGTGTGAAAGGGGGGTGGGAAAGTTGGGGGAGGTTGAGCGGAGGCTGCCGTCTTGTCGTCCGCAGCACCTGTAGTCCGGGGCTCTGCTTCTGGTAGCTCAGAGAGCCTGCTGCGCCTGTCGCCTGTGGGTCCGTTGCTCCTGCCGCTCAGAGTTAGCCGCAGAGCCAGTTACTCCTGTAGTCCGGGGATACGGCCCTGGTAGCCACAGTGCACGCCGCTCCTGTTGCTCGTGTGTCTGCAGCATCAGCCGTCGCCTCCTATCTCCTCTCCTCTCACAGTCCAGCCTCCTCCTCCTCACTTGCCCTTTGTGAATGCCTCTAGCTTTGCTTGTACTTGTGAACCTGCTCTATGACTGCTTGCTCTGCTGATTATACCCCACTTTGACTATGGGGGTGTGTCAGAATGTATTTGTTGTTTAGCCTGCAGTGGGGTACTCTGTAGTGAGTACAACCCAATTTAGGGTTTGCTATTTGTATCCCAACTTCCTATAGTGAAACCATCTCTTTCTCGATTCTCCCTTGCACAATCTCTCTCGACACTCAACTCTCTCGACACTCACTAGCTATGGCTCCTAAGTCTAGCTACTATTCTAACAGTGTTGCTGGTGCTGGAGGTGCTGGAGGTGCTACTGGAGCTACTGGCACTGGAGGTGCTAGAGTTACTACTGGTGCTAGAGGTCCTGGCGCTGCCGGAGCTAGTTGTGCTGCTGGTGCTGGAGGAGCTGTAGGTGCTTGTACTGCCCTGCGCAGACCGTTTTTCTACCCACAGCCGCAATTGTCCCTGCCGCCGCCTGACTCGGTCCTTTGCCAGGTTCTTAGTCTCCCGTCTTCCACTCGCCTCCCTCTACCCCTCCTGTGTACACCGACAGACCAGTCTCAGCCACAGCTATTGCCTGGCTCCTCGCTGCCTGCGCCTGCTCCTCACACTGAGGTGACTGAGTCCCTGACTGAGCGTCGTGAGCCTGAGACTCGTGCTTCCACACCTGTTCGTGCTCGTCTAGCCGCCCGTCCTCGTCCTCCTGCTGTCCCAGGCATTCACGGTATGGCACTTTGTCCTTCCTCTGTTCCACATCATGTTGTCCTGCCTGAGCCTCCCGCGTCCTCTCTTCTCCACGTTCCTGACCTTGAGGCTGACCTTGCTCGTACTGCCAGTCCTATTGTCACTCGTCTCCTTGCTAATGTCGTCACTGACCCTGACCTTGAGTCTACTGCAGCGTTTGCCCTAGTCACTGAGCTAGTCGACTTTGCAGCTAGGAGTCGTCTCGACTACGCCGCGAGTCTTATCACTGAGTCTGAGTCTGTCTGTCCTCCGTCCGTCAGGGGTGAGCTTGCCCTTGGCAGTGACGTACTTGAGGACAGACAGTTTGAGCTTGAGTGTCTTGCGGCCGCTTTAACTCGTTTTGCAACCATGCTTCTTTGCCCTAAGGGAGACCCGGATGCACTTGACATCTCTACCACGCGCTCTTATGCTGAGGCGATCGCGGGTGAGTACTCCTCTAAGTGGCAGACAGCCATAGACGCAGAGATGGCTTCCTGGAAGTCCACAGGCACCTACGTCGACAAGGTTCCTCCTCCTGGGGCGAACATAGTCGATGGCATGTGGATTTTCATAGTGGAGCGGCCGCCGGGTTCTCCGCCTTCCTTCAAGGCGCGTTACGTTGCTCGAGGCTTCAATCAGCGATAGGGGGGTTGACTTCTTCCAAACCTTCTCCCCCACCCCAAAGATGACTACTCTTCTGGTGCTGCTGCACGTTGCAGCACAGCATGACTACGAGCAGCTCTCCCTCGACTTCTCCACATCTTTCTTGCAGGGCAGCCTGCACAAGGAGATTTGGCTGCGCCGCCCACCCGGCTTCACTGGTTTGTTTCCTGTGGGTACCCAGTAGAGCCTCCGGTGGCTAGTCTACGGTCTCCGCCAGGCGCCCCGAGAGTGGCACGACACACTGAGGACTACACTTGCGGCTCTTGGGTTTGCTCCTTCCTCTGCTGACCCGTCGCAGTTTCTACGCACCGACACTACCCTGCCGCTGTTCTACGTTCTAGTGTACGTCGACGAGTTGGTTTTTGCTACTGCTGGCCCTGAGGCGCTGGCCCTAGTGAAGGCGGAGCTGCAGGAGAGACACACCTGCACTGGCCTGGGTGAGTTGCGTAGCTATCTTGGCTTGCAGATCACCCGGGACAGAGCACGGTGCACCATCACCCTGACTCAGTCACACATGGTGCACCAGGTCCTTCAGCGCTTCGGCTTCCAGTTCTCCTCGCTACAGCCCACTCCTCTGTCTACCGGCCACTCTCTCTCAGCTCCATCTTCGAATGAGTCTGTAGAGCCGAGTGGTCTGTACCCTGAGCTTGTGGGTTGCCTCATGTACCTGATGACGTGCACACGACCTGACCTCGCGTACCCTCCCTGCCTCCTGGCCCGCTACGGTAGACACCGAAAGGTGCACTGGGATGCTGCGAAGAGGGTTCTGCGTTACTTGTGCAGTACATCGGGCATGGGGCTCATGCTTGGAGGAGAGGGTTTAGTGGTACTCACAGGACACTCCGACGCTTCTTGGGCCGATGACCAGGCGACTCAGCGTTTGTCACAGGATTTCACCTTCAGTCTTGGCTCTGGTTCTATCTCGTGGAGGTCCACTCATTCTTCTTCTGTGCTTGGTTCTAGCTGTAACGCCGAGATCTACGCTGGGGCCATAGCTGCACATGATTTACGCTGGCAGCCCTACCTACTGACCGACTTGGGGGAGCGGCCTTGTTCTCCTCCGGTTCTGTACGTCGACAACAAGGCAATGCTTGTCTTGTGTCACGAGCAGAGACTGGAGCACAGAACGAAGCACATTGCTCTTCGCTACTTCCTTGCGTGTGAGCTGCAGCGGCGTCGTCAGCCCCGCCTTTCCTACGTGGCCTCGCGGGCCAACACTGCTGATGTGTTCACCAAGGCCCTTGGGTCTGGTGATCATCAGCGTTTCTGCACTGCTCTTGGGCTTGTGCCCACTCTGCCTCACCTGCTGGTTGCTTGACTTGATCTTGTTGCACACTGATATATATCTTTATACCTGCTTGTTTACCCTTGCTAGGTTCTGATCAGTGTACTGCCTTGCTATTATAACTCTGCATGTGAACTGGCCTTGTGGCTGCTTGCTTGTGCTCAGATTGTGTGGTGTCCTTGAGATCCATCCTGAGATTTGCTTTGCTTTGTTCTCTTGCTTGACTGGTCTTGTGATCGTTTGTTGTGTTTGCTATCTCCCACTTAGCCTATGGGGGTGTGTCAAACTGTATGTTTGTGTTCTCTCTAGGCTATAGTGGATTAGCCTACAAGGGGTACAACACTTTAGGGTTAGTACTTGTACCAACTCATTCATAGTTCATTCATTCCTGCACTGTTATTCTGACATATAGAACAATGTATTAACTTTCATGACAATTCTGAACACTTGCGTTATCCCGCCTCACCTTCTCACAAACTGACATTTATTCGTGTGCAGTGCTCACAATCATTAAAGCGGAGCAGGTTCTGGAAATTTTTTAACTTTCTAGAAAGGCATAGTGCCGTCGTAGCGGAAGCTTTGATGGTAGAATAAACAGCAAGAGAAACTTGCAACTGAAAGGATTCAAATCAATGGGATTGGATTATGAAACCATACAGTAGGGCATTTATGCTATCAGCTACCCTGCCCACATCCATCCATCCACACCAATAATTGTACCTCCAATAATGGTAACTCTAATAAAGGAGTACCAATAATTCTTCCCCCATTACTCTAGACTCCAATAATGCAGTCCCTACAATAATTGTACAATTATTGTAGAACCTGGAGTCTTATAAAGGAGACTACGGTAAAAAACTAACAGCATATATATTTCCTTATGTTTCTATTTCCTTCAAAACTCATCTTAGGGCTGGAGACGAATGTGGACAAGTCCGTTATCCTACCGCTGGGCGACAACCTGCACTGGCATTCCTGCAGACCACAAAACTTCAGATGGGTGGAAGCGGATGAGGCGGAGAAATTGCTGGGTATCTGGATAACGCCGGTAAGAAGTTGTCAACCAACGTGGGAGAAGGCGGGGGCAAGCGTGGTTGGGAAGCTTAAGACGTGGGAGAAAATTTTGTTGATGTTGCAATGACCGTTTGTCGCTTAGTCCTCCAACTGACAGCAGCTCCTCCCAAGGTAAACACGTAGCCTCCAACTGAGTGACACCCCACTTCGTTCGCATAGTCCGAGTCCGTGTATCCTCGGAGCACCAAGTCCTCTCGTCCATAAACCAGCCCCACATTCGCGGTGTTCTGTAAGTACTTGAAGACACGCTGAATCCCAAGCACGGTTGCAGTTGTTGGCTTGCCGGCTTGTCGAGCCAACACGTGCGTTGCATATGTAATGTCCGGCTTCCCTGCTGTTGAGATGTACAGCAAGGTCCCCACTTGTTTCAGCACCAATTGACTGTCAATCTCGTCTGGTGGTTCTCCTTGTGGTCCAGGTTCCTTGGTGATTGGTGTCCGGACTCCGGAACGGCTGTCTTCCATCACAAAGTTCTCCAAAGCCTGTGAGATGTACTTTGTGAGTCCGAGTGAGATCTGGTCAGCGTCAGCAGTGACGTTAAGGCCCAAGAACTGCGTCATGGTCTTGCAGACAGTCAAGGTAAAGTCCTGCTTCATTTGTTGAATCATAGCCACAATGCCTTCGTCGTCATGTGATTGGATGAGGATGTTGTCAACGTAGGTAAGTAGCCACACCGTGTCCTTTCCTTCCCGTTTCCGGATAAATAGCGATGGGTCAGATTCGGACTGCTCCATGTCCAGCTCCAACAAAACACCCCGTAAGTGCTGATGCCACAAACGTGGTGCTTGTTTCAGTCCATACACACTCCGCTTAAGTTTCCAGACTTCGTCTCCGTCACGCCTTGGTTCGGGTGGTCTCACATACACGTCCCGGTTGATTGGAGATG